TTAGAGCTGTTGTTCTGTGCGAGTGCCCACCCACAACAGGCTCTGTGGTTGACTGTATCCCGGCAAGAGCTGAGACTCTTCGATGATGCTGCAGACTCGAGGCGCGTCCTCTGCCGAGGTCCTGTAGTGGACCGGCGGGAAACCGGTTCCGTTGAAGCCGCACGCCTTGACCAGCCCGTATGCACCAACGTTGTCCATGAGGAGCCACTCGCCCACTGACACCTCAAAGAAAGGTACATGGTCTTCGAACTTGTCCATGGGGTGGCAGGTGGCGCCCCACAGCGTCGTTATTTGGTTGCAGGGGCGCTCGAGCGGAGGCTGTAAAATCATTTTTTTTTCTTTGTTAGTAGCGCAAGTAATGAGTGACACTCTTGTTTCTCCTCCGAAAACTTCCGGTGGAGAACTTCCCGTATCCCTAATTCTACACAGAAAATGTGATCTTTAAAAGCATACCATGTCCGCAGTTACGTTGTCAACTTGCGCTTTATACGGAGCATGACTGCAACGGCGACGGCATAAGCACGTCGAGAGTTCTCATAAAGTGTCAGTCGCAAGAAAGCTAGCCAGAAATCAGCGGTTTTCTCTCAAGCCAATTGTTATATTGTATACATTTGATAACTGAGCATACTTTCACTTTACATAAAGGCCAATTTGCTGTAGAAATGATTCACAAAAGTTTACAGCTTAAGCGAACGAGCTGAGGGCCTTCTTGTGAGCAGCTGCGATTGTTTCGGCCACTGGCGGCGCGGACCTCAACCGCGGGTGTCTTTGTACGTGGCCTCTGAGATCCGCTCCAGCAGTTCGATGAAACATGCAAAACACGAGGAATACACTGAGGCGCACGAATGCCGAGATGGAGGTGTCAATCCAAGTCAACTTCTGCGGTCACCTCCAATATTTTCAACCATCGTTTCAGACACAGCATTATTGGGAATTCATGACTAATGGTACCCATGCCTGGCAGTGGGCCTGGCGTGTAATCATCATTCCACAGATGCTCTCGCACTACTGAGCTGTGGCGTAGCCAGAAGTTAGCACACCGTGTACCTTCATGTATACTTGTACTAATGCCCAAAGAGAGCGAGAAAAAAATGACACAATATCCATGGAGTACATGATGATGAGTTGGGCGAAGCATCCATCAGTCTTTCCTGGCATCCGTCCGTCCGTTGGTTCTTGCCACTGTCTGTCCGTGCATCCATTCGTCCATCCATTCATTCATGCACCCATCCGTGCGTTCGTCCATACGTCCGTCCGTGCGTCTGTCCATTCGTCTCTTCATTTAGTGAACACTCCAAGTACCGCCATCTCGCATCTTTTCATCATATATTCACCATATAGAAGTACCGCCATCCAGAGGACATTCCAAGGACTAAACGAGAGGTGGCACGGCAGGACTGCAGAGGAGCGGCACGCGCGCACTTTCTTACGGCCTGCGCTTCGTGTCTAGTTCCCACCTTTCACCGCCTCTAGTTCATGGCACTGCGGCCCAACCCTCGTCAAACCTGTGTTTAGAAAAAGAATGGTTAACGATTTAGAATTATCTGTACTCTACTATCTACGCGAAAAACAGAATAAGGTAGACGATTTTCCTAAAACCGAGAAAGTTACGCCAGGCGAGTTTAACGTGGCAACCATTTCTGGTCTAAGGTGCTCAGAGAGCGTCCTTCTGATACTAGTTTTGTTTAGTAGACATCAAACTCAAGGCAAATTTTATTGGAGATTAAGTCACCGATACTCGCCTGTATTGGTTATTTCACCAAAAACAACTATCTTTTTATTTAAGATTAACCTGCGCGTGTTTCCTCTTTAATTTTGCTAAAGATTGCGCGCATGCTGCTCCTCTAGTCCGGTCGTGGAGGTGGATACCTACTACTACTAATACTACTACTACTACTACTACTACTACTACTACTACTACTACTACTCGGACGCACGACCCGAGGATTAAGGAGCTGCACCCCTAAAACGCCTCTATAGTCGGTTACAACCTATAGGTAGCACAGCATATGAGGTAAAGCTTTGTCGTTTTTTTTTTGTTGAGTACATGCGTTATTAAATAAGAAATAATTTTATGTCGCTTTTTGTGCTTACTATGATTGTATGAGACAACCACCAAAACCAGTTTGATATGTCTCTTATTGTATTAACTATGTCCTCTTGAAACTAAGGGTCTGCAGTATGTAATCCTAGAAAAAGAAAGAATGAAAGAAAGAATAAACACGCGCTTCACGCCCAGTAGTGCAGCACGTCTGTAAATCTTCTGCGAAAAGCAGATTTCTGGTTTCAGTTCTAACCATAATCGCATTTTCGCTGGTAATGCGAACACTACACATATTATAAACTAAATGGTCATTGTTCCTTCTTAAAACGTTACGTTTTGCAGAGCAGGGAAGTCGGAATTTTTTATTAAGTTTGCGAAGAAGTAATCTTTTTTCGACCGAGAACTAGCGAAATGAAGATGAGCCTGTACGAACAAGTAATTTATTGGAAATTCTTATAAACTGCCTGACTTTACGTAAGTGATTTGGGTTCCATTTAAATCTAGCATTGCTTCTCGTTGCATGTAACATGAGAATCTGTCCCAACATAATGCTTTTTGCGTTATTTTTGTCTTTTTTTTCTTGAGTGATTCGTGATTTGTGAGAATAACGAAGTGCTGTGCGTTACATCCTGTCCACGTTCTGGTGTTTGTACACGCCACTGAAGTGATTTCGTTACACCAGACAGTTTTACTCCCCTGTAGTGTTGTTACCAGTTTGCAATGAACGTCCCTGTCTTAAATCTATCTTAATCTAGAATTTATCGAGAGCGCAGCGGAACAATCTTTACACCTTCCTTTTGATTTTATTACCGGCGGTGGTATTTTCTGCGTTCTTTCAGCTCTGAAGCTACCAAATTGGGGCTATCATGACCACTTTGAGACAATAACGTGCTCATTGGCATATGTTTACACGCCTTTCGTATGCAACGACATCCTTCAAAGGAATATGTTTCTGATGAAACATGTTCTGGGATGCATCAGATGTGTTGTGGGTGCATCTGGTGGCATTAAGGTGTTCTTCAACAAAGCTATCGAATACCGCCAGGCAAGCCTCAAAACCAGAACTGGAAGAGTGGCCTTTCTACAACCTTTTGTAAGCATTCTTGGGACAACTACTACAAGTATTCTTTCATGAGAGTCACTTCACAAAAGATCATTATTTTTTTAAGTAAAGAAGCACTCACTATATACGGTATTATTGGTTGTTATGCGGAGAAGCGAAATACTTTCTAAATATCTGGGTGGCATAATGTCCCCTTTTTATGATGACGACGAAAAGTGATGGCTCTACCTTTCGTAATAAATTAAAAGCATTCAACAAGCCACTCGTTATACAATTCGCATTGCGTGACACCTGGTTACTCTTTCACCATGCTACCTTACAAATGTCAACCTGGTGTTTTCTCCGATATGAAGATTTTTTTAGAGAAATAATATCAAGCACTGGCGTGGTTCTGTGGTAGATCACCAAGATGCCACACAGGAGGACCAGACCGGCTATGAAACGAATTTAATTTTGGACATGTTCTTTCTCTTTTTTTATTTTTTGCTTATTTTGCGCGCCAGCGGTTGTGGTCACCGTCGGGGCGGTGGACAGCTATAGCAGCGCTGCTACGGTCTCGTAACAGTTTTCGCTACAAAATATGAGGTGCGAAAGTACCATGTAGAGAGAGAGAGAGAGAGAGAACATAAGAAGAAAAGAAGGGAGCTTCACTATAGGCTTAGCCCTGGTAGCCTACCCTGCCCTGGGGAAGGGGAGAGAGAGAAGGAAAGAAAAAAGGTTTTCCTTACGCTGAAAGGATGATATTTGACGCAAAGACCCTCGTAGTTTTCCCGGGGAATGCAGTTCTGTTTGCTATCATTTATATAAACATCGTGGTAAGGAAGAAATTCTCCTGCAAGCATAAAAAAACAAAAAAAGAAAGTTGTTTCACAAGAATAGCCGTTTATAGCGAGAATTGCGGATTCTTTTTGTTATTTTCAACTTTGCCGATTGCCCCGCACGTAGGAACAAGATATCAAACGCAAAAAAAAAACGTGGCTTATTCTTTTTTATAGCAATCAGTATAGCACGAAAGTGAAAGTTGTTTTCACAGATGTAGTTGAGCGTTTATTGTGCATCGTTTCGCCACAAGGGCGAATTAATTAATGCTACAGCAACAAATTGCAATGCCACGCGAAGAATGGCAAGCAGCTCTAAATTTGCAGCGAGAACTTCAAGCAGAAAGCACGCACGAAGTGAGAATACACCGGAAGAGCGCGGACCAAAAAATTATTAAAGGACCATGGTACAAGTATACAGAGGACAAGCGCGAACAACTGTCACGATTCTTACTTCGTGCGTGAGCAGCGTGCTCCTTTTGTAAACGCGGCCGCGGCAGTGAGCGAAGAGACCTTCAGTCTCTCCCGAATCACGAGTGTGATAAGCGCGCTAAGCAGAGGAAATGCTCCGTGGAGGCGGCACTCATCGAAACGCGAGAGGCGACGATCTTTAGAGCACGCCCAACACAAAAGTGCGTCGATTTGCAAGCGCATCGAAGCCCATGTTCAACGCGAGTCCTTCGCGCCATCTCGTCAGGGATGACGAAAACGCGCTGAGGTTGCGGAGCTCCGATGACCACCAAATAAAATCATCATCAGCAGCAGCAGCTTAACTACACCCACAGCAGGACAAAGGCCTCTCCCATGTTCGGCAGGCGACTCGGTCCTTTGCTTGCTGCTGACACTTCATACCCGCAAACTTCTTGATGTGTTTGCCCACTTCACTTTCTGTCTCCTCTCAAACGCTTACCTTATTTTGAAATCCCGTCTGTGATCATTAATGACCAGCGGTTATCTTGCCTTCGCGCTACGTGCCCCACCCATGCATGACCATTTTTTCTTCTTATTTCGACTATGATGCCCTTAACACAAGTTTGTTTCGGGATACACTCTGCTCTCTTCTGGTCCCTTGGGGTTACATCTATCAGTTCCTTTCCGTTGTTCGCTGCGTCGTCCTCTACTTAAGTAGTAGTAGTAGTAGTAGTATTTTTATTTACAGTAAGCCGGATACAGAGCTCACTGCAGGGGCAAAGGGCTAAAGGCGAACAGCCTGACAAAGGCCCTTGTCCCTCCGCAGTCCGTGACAGTGCAAAGCTTAGACATCAGCACTGACAAACAATATATATATTCAAGACATTGGTTTCAAGCAACCTGAAATTGTAAACACAAAATTCAAACATAAATAGCATAAGAAGTTTACATAACACATTTTAAGAATGAGAGGTCACTCTCGTTAAAATTCACAACTAAGCAATATCAATGAAACAACTCAAAAACATACACAAAATGCATGCGGATACAATGAATTCCGCTGTATACACTCGTATAATTGACATAGAAGTTTATGAACAATTTAAGCATTTGCAGAGGCATGAGACTCCATTACGTAGTTTCGATAGTGTAGACCAGTGGTTATGAATAAGTTCTTTATTTGTTTCTTGAAAGTCGCACTACTAGCCCTAAAGTTCAATTGATCTGCAAGGGTATTTAAAACCTGAGGTACCTGGTAAGCAATACTTTGTTTTCCATATTGGGTTCTTGTTCTAGGACCTCGTTTCTTTTGTTCTCGCAGACTGCAGTGTGGTCTTCCGGTGCAACTTTCTTCATATAGCTTAGTCTTTTGTATTAACTGAAGTAATTTAAAATGATATAATTGATCAATTCTGAGTATTGAATGTTTAATGAATAGTGGAGCAGTGCGCAAGTCTTGTAAACTCCCCCTGTAATTTTCAAAGCAGCGCAATATTTTCTTTTGTATAGTTATTAACTTATGGTAATTGCCTTGTGATGTCGTTCCCCAGACTAACATCTCATAACTTACTTTAGAATGGAAGAGTGCATAGTACATACTTATTTTTAACCTCAATGGGATTAAGTGCATTGTTCTAAAAAAACAACCAACTATTCGCGCTAATGCGGTGATCAGATGATTTACATGTGTGTTCCAGTTTAATTCCTCCTGAAACCATACACCAAGAAACTTTTGTTCCCTAACATGTGCGATGCAATTTCCTTCGAATTTTACAGCTATGTTACTAATAGGTTTGTTTAAAGGTCGGAATATCATATAGGTTGTTTTTTTTTTGCATTCAAGTTGAACCCTCTGTGTAATCATCCGTGTTTCTGCTCCGTAGGTAGGCACCGCTAAGATGCAGCCGTTATACACCTTCCTCTCGAAGAATAGTGGTAGACTACTCTTCATCATTTGAGAACGCTTGCCGAATGTGCCCCATCTCATTCTTTTTCTTCTAGTTACCTCAACATCGTGGTTCGGCTCAGCCGTTATTACCTGTCCTGACTCCTATAAGTATGTAGACGTACTGTTTTAGAACTTCAAGTGCACTGCTACCAACCTCGAATCGCTTTTGTCTTCCAAAGCTATTGTGAATTACTTTAGTTCCCTGCAAGTTAATTTTAAGACCCACCTTTCGTGTTTCCTTGTCTAATTCAGTAATCATGAATTGCAATTCATCCCTTGAGTTACTCAGCGATGTAATCTCATCAGCAAAGCGCAGGTTACTATAAGGTACTCTCCAATAACTCGCATCCCTAACTTCTCCCATTCTAGGCCACTAAAAACCTCGTGAACACGTGGTAAATAGGATTGGAAAGGTCATATCTCGTCTTACTTATATGGTGCGTATAAATAGCTGGCCGTTGGCAAGTTGTCGACGTACGCTCTGTGGCCTATGGATAACGCCGCGCGCCGCGACTCGTGAGGTCGCTGGTTCGATGTTCAATGACACACGCTTGTCATTCTTTTTTGTTTCTATATTTGCTTTGCGATTTGTCAATATATATTTTACAACGTCATATCCGTGGCAAATTACGTCGACAGAGCCATGCACACCCTGGCTTAGAGACAGTCACTGGCGTCCGCTCTTGCTCATCGACAACAGGTCTGTGGACACTGTTCTGTCAAGTGGCCGAGAGAAGACATTGCAACAGAAGGCGACACAAGCTCTGTTGAAATTCCTACGCGAAACGGACTTGAACAGGCGGCTGTAACAGCATTGTCACACACCACGAAAGACAAGACTGAACTACGACTGAGTGTGCGCACGTGTGCTGCCGAATGTGCTGTGTTTATCTCTCTTCCTTTTCTGCTCTCTATCTTTCATCTCCCCCATCCTCCTCCCATGCACAGGGTAGCAAACCGGCTGCCTATAGGCTGGTTACCCTCCCTGCCATTCTTTTCCTTCTATTTTCCTTCCTGGCATAAAACATTTTCGTGTTAAAAAACAGCCGTGCAACAAGGTCTCTCAATATAGCGTTCCTCATGATTGTATTGTTACTTCGGCATGTACAACCTCCTACTTTGTGAGTTTATAAAAAAAATATTTGACTATGTAGCGTACTTGGTACTCTAATATATGGAAAAGCAAAAAGCCATCCCGCGGGCCTCCCATTTCACGCACTCGAAATGGAATCGCCAAAACCAACTTCCTTGCTAACAGATATCTGTGGTGGTGTCGCACTGGGGGAAAAAACAGCACCGGTGAACGTACGAAAATAGGACCTTCGGAGGTGTGCCGGTCACGCGTATTTGTATGCATTGTTATCGAATACCTGCTTCTTTCCCTATCACGGGCTTGTCAACCATCAGCCGTTTCTAATGTAGCAATTTGATAAGTTATCGAGGACACCTGTCATTGCACCTTGCCACATTTAGTTGTTGTCTGGATATAGATGCGAGATCGTCGTTGTTGCCTGTCGCAACTAAAATGTCGTGCTGCTAAGCACGTGTATTAATGTTCTGTTCCCGTGATGCTAGAAGGAAACAGCATGAAGCATAGCAAAATGTAAAAGAAGAAAGAAAAAAAGGGAGGAAGAAGGAAGTAATAAAGTTAAAGAAAGGAAGGGAAGAAGAAAGAAAGCAACAAAAAAAGAAGGAAAGCAAGAAACAAAGAAAAAAAGAGGGAATGTGTGAAAAAGAGAGAGGAGGAAGGAAGCAAAGATAGAAAGTTAGAAGCAAAGACAGAGAAAGGAAAAGAAGGAAAGCAAGAAAGAAAGAATGAAAAACAGAAAGCAGGGCAGCAAGAAAGAAAGAAAGAAAGAAAGAAAGAAAGAAAGAAAGAAAGAAAGAAAGAAAAAAAGAAAGAAAGAAAGAAAGAAAGAAAGAAAGAAAGAAAGAAAGAAAGAAAGAAAGAATGTGTACTTCCAAGACGCTTCGTCATGGTAACCTCCCATCCGCTCTCCTTGATTGATTGATTGATTGATTGATTGATTTGTGGGGTTTAACGTCCCCAAACCACCATTTGATTATGAGAGACGCCGTAGTGGAGGGCTCCGGAAATTTCGACCACCTGGGGTTCTTTAACGTGCACCCAAATCTGAGTACACGGGCCTACAACATTTCTGCCTCCAATTCCGCTCTCCTTCACTAATCTCACTGCGAAACAGCCTCAGCGATGGCCTAGTGAAAGCAACGTTGCAAGATATACCATCGACGTTGGTTTGCCGCGTCCTTTTGGCGACCACCTTGACAGCCAGGGTAAATGATGACGTCACCATGTACTGCCCGGGTTCGGCGATAACGTGTATGCCGCCAGTACTAGGAAAGTGCTCGTCCAAGGCTGAGCGCACAGTTTCGCACACCTGCGCAGAGGGAGGCACTTAACTCTTTATTCCTTCATTTCCGTTCATCCTGTTCTGCAGATGTTAGCATACGTTCACCGCTGCCTCCACTGCTCGTAGAGCGTGAGTACGCGCTTCCATCGTTAGCTCGTAGATAGCCCTCTCTCTCTCTCTCTCTCTCTCTCTCTCTCTCTCTCTCTCTCAACCTATCTTTGCTTTTTCAGTCTACGTAATGACTGACGTGTCTTAACAAAACTCGTGCGAATTATCACAAAAGTCCATAATCATGCTACGAATAGGACATATCAGTACATCGCTTTTCTAAACCCATTTGCCCTAACAGCATATACCGCTACCATAGACCCTTCCAACCTCCCCCAACTAAATATTTAAATTTCACATGTGTATATATAAAATCACACATGCGAGCCCCGAACCAACATATGTACATGACGTTTGGTTAGTTGGAGCTTCGCTGCGCCTCCGCCTCCACCGCCCCTCCCCCTCCAAAGAAAAAGAAAATTTTGGCTGCACCCCTAATACATACATCTCTGTTGAGAACTTCTACTAGCTGACTGTCATTCGCAGTTTTCTTGCTACACGACTGCCAGACTTCAAAACACTGTACTCTCCTTGCTTTTAACCACTATGTTTTTCCCGTTGACCGATATAATCAACCTGCTTTTATCGAAATGGCATTTGGTCCCATATAGATCATCTGGTTGCGTTTTGCACCATCGATCTGTAGAGACTTCGAGCGACGGGTCCCAAAGTTCAGGGACACTCATGGCCATGCTCACAAAAAGAGCGCGAGAGAACTTAGAACCGAGACGAAGAGTTCCGGTGTTGTATGCGCTAAGTATGTACCTAGTATAGTACTTCTAAAACTACCTGTTATTACACGCTAGCTCTAGCACGCTCAACTTCAATTATCTCCTAGCTAGACCAGCTTTCTTTGCCCCTTTGCGTGTTCACTTTGTTCATGTGCCATTCATACGAAGACGTAGGCATTGTTCATTTCGTACTCAGTCATTACAAGGCTTAAGGTGAGAAACAAGGCAAATTACAGGACAGTGAAACGCACAGGAGCCAACTATAAGCGCTGTGTTTTCATAATTTCGTCCTGTTCTGTTCTGCTACGACGTTAATTAACAAACGAGCCCACCTAAAAAGACTTGCCCTTACTGGGACTAGGGTCCCAGAGCTAAAGCAAAAAGCAAATTTCCAGCAAGTTTTCAAAAGCTGCGAGGCTGAATGTAATCATCAAGAAAGATTTCATTAAAAACAGCTCGTACGTGTTAACTCGCAAAGCGATAGCTGAGGATATAAACTCTGTACACATGTATAGCTCATCAAAAAGTGATTATTGCGTACATCAATGCATCTGTATCACTTATATAACTTCAAATAAAATCTGCGAGTCATACCTGTCAACACATATTAATCAGCGTGAATCATGCAACAATATACTTAAAGTACGTACGAATTATGCAGCGAACAACCTGAAAACATGTATCCATAAAAATAAATTATTGGTGCACATTGCAATGCATTGGTATGACCTACCAAATTTCAGAAAAATGCGCATATCATATTTCGATATTTTAACAGAATTGAAAAGGAAAGGCTGTAATAAGAGCCCCTGAAATATCTCTCCACTCACTCCCAATAGAATGTTTTATTAGATTACATTAAAAAAATTTAGTTCACGTGAAAACAATGTTTAATAGAGAACTTGTCTTTATAACATCTGCAGCTGTCTATATAATTCTAGCAAAACAAGCTCTTTCATTTACGCAAGAAAATTATGCTTAGTCGACCTCAGCTTTTTGAAACGTTTTCCAGCGACGTCATAATTCCGCATTTTAATTTACTAAAATATTTCTTGTTTCCTAGATGAGGAACCAGTTACAATCGCCAACTTCGAAAGTAGTGCCGAATGGCGGTCGATTTTTTAATCTTACAAAGGGAAGTTTTTGTCACTGCACTTTACGCCGTTCTCACATTTGTGTGTGTGTGTGTGTGTGTGTGTGTGTGTGTGTGTGTGTGCGTGTGTGTGTGTGTGTGTGTGTGTGTGTGTGTGTGTGTGGTGTGTGTGTGTGTGTGTGTGTGTGTGTGTGTGTGTGTGTGTGTGTGTGTGTGTGTGTGTGTGTGTGTGTGTGTGTGTGTGTGTGTGTGTGTGTGTGTGTGTGTGTGTGTGTGTGGTGTGTGTGTGTGTGTGTGTGTGTGTGTGTGTGTGTGTGTGTGTGTGTGTGTGTGTGTGTGTGTGTGTGTGTGTGTGTGTGTGTGTGTGTGTGAACTCAAATTATACAACTGACAAAATGAAATATTATGAGTGCCGGATATAAAGGTCTCATGTTTGTTTGTGTGCAGTGGCTCCTACATAAGCACTGACGGTTCAGCAAAAAAGGCTGCTGATTTGCACGAGCGCTTATTCGTTGCACCTCACTTGAATGAAAAGATCTCGCCTTCTCGTGCTTCCCACAAATCCTCCTCCGATGTCGAGCACTGTCATCTTGATTCCCATTTGAGCACTAATGTCAAAAAGGCGCCTCGCCTTTTCAATGGCGCTTCGATAGCTCTCGGTACTGAAATGTCTTCCACCAATATGAAATCTGCAAAAAGAAAAAGAAGACGCGAAGCGAAAGCAGTCTTACCGAGCACAATTTATTGTGCAGTGAAAACTTGTTAAGTTGAACTTGGTAAATTAGAAGTTACTGTTAATTCAAACTGAAGCCCTGATCTCGACTCAGCCCTTGGTATTTTGATGAGGAAAAACTCCCGATAATTCAGATGCCAATAGGGATCCACCATGGTCAACTCAACCTGGGAGCCCTTTGTTTTCATAGTTCCTCAGAGAAATTGTCCCAGAGTATTCACAATGCGTTACAAAACCAATTCAAACCAAATCTACCAGAGATGCAAAGCAACGAAATACCAGCATTTCTCAGCAGGTAACAGTTCGGAGTCTGCGTGGAGCTCTCGGGCAAGCTACAAGCGAGGGCAAACTGCAGTCGATCCCGAGAAAAGAGACGCACGCAAGCATATGTGAATTAGTGATTACTTTTAATTTTCAATCCATTAACTCTGTCATGTCAATAACCGTGTTTCGGAGCATATATATGGTGCATACGTGTCGATATTATGGCTTACTGCTCTCATGAATGCATGTCGGTGCTTGTTTCTGGCATATCATTCAACGGTCAAATAATCTTGTTCACTCTTAGAGCTCCGTGAACTTAATTCATAAAATCACCCGCCAAAAACGCGCATCAACGCTCAAGTCGCGATAGCTATAGAAGTGGCTTCTTTGGGTTCCGTCCGCGTGATATAGTGCGATGTTCGTTCACTTTAGTGCCAGCCCGCTAACTCCAACTCTGCTTATTGCGAACAATTTTATAGTTCTCTTCGAGTTTGAATCAACAAGATTTTACTGCATTAATGTCCTCAGTACACTACACGTATACGAATATTCTAAACGGAGAGTTTCAACGGCCCAAACAGGGAAGTTACCTGGAGGAAAAACAAAGCGTACATGCTGAATCTGTACTTGCTGACACCCCTTACAGTTTAACCACTCTGCAACTTGTTTCCAAACCTGCGTGCCACTTTGAACGAAGCTTCCCCGGTTGACATTATAATGCCACGAAGTATGTGATGCGGGCTTGTTGGTCTTCACATCTTCAGTAGGTTTCCTTGTAGCAAGTCGTCGATATATATGTTGACTCTCTGTCTGTATGTACCTTCATATTTCCCTGGCCATTACGTGCGCCACAAGAAAACACAATGACTATAATGCCGGCTGCGTTGTTATATGAGTGTATTCTCCCGAAAATACTGCAATATTGGCTGCTACCCATTTGCTCTGCAACCACGTGCGGGAGTACAAAGGTCACATTTTGTGGCACCTCCTTATTGATGGCACTAAAATATACAAGCTCGAAACGTTAAATTGCGTTGCCATCAAGCATGTAATGAAGCAGAAACAAGTGTAAAACTACGATACTTTCTCTCCAGGTTACGATCTGTCACCTTGCATTAAAACGTGATGACTACACTACAAGAGGCCGTGTAAAAGTAAATTGTCATCTTTAAAACAACATATGCCACGTCCATTCCATCCGACAAAGGGACTAAGCAAAGCAGAATAAAATGAGTCAGTGACCAACACCGGCTCATTTTGACATTCGAATCATGTAACAGCTCGAAAAACAAGTTCAATCGGATGGGAAAGACTGACACTTGCTTCTGTGCTGAGAAATTTGACAAGATGCATACAGTTGAGAATGAAAGCCTCATACGAAAGCAAAAGTAAGCCCGACTTACGCAATGCCGACGACAGTGTGACCTTGGTCAGTGGCAACACGGAGAATGTGCTCGGCTTCTAGAATACTGCAGCCGTACTTCCGTGCCATTCTGTCTTCGTGGTCTCCCGCTTGTGCTGAAAATCTCAGCAAAAGCCTGCAAATATCGCAATATACTGGTCAGATTGGTTCTTGATATGCAAGACGTGATAACAGCCTTCCAATTTTTGATTTAAGACATAGGGTATCATTCATAACTTCTAACAAAATAATTATTTTAAACAGAGAGTGGGAACATCAGAGAAAGAGAAAGGTGAGAAAAGTTCATTGATCGAAAAGAAGTCAACTGTTAAGTCGACGTTGGTTGTCGAAATAGCGGTCCAGAAACCTCTTAGTGTTACTTTTGGGCCAAGGAAGTGCAAATTTGAAACAAGATTGCGTTTTAGTGGTACCCATTAGGTTCGCGCACTTCAAACTACCCGCTTCAAGCAGAATGCCTCACGCCACTCATGTTGTGCAAGACATCGCCCGGATTCACTGCGCGGCCGCCGACTCTGTATTGGCAGTATAACGAAAGCAGCGGGAGCCACAGCAGCAACAACGGTCATTGAAAATTTCCTGTCATTGCCTCCGAGATGGCAGACTTGCTTGGTTCAACTGGGCTCCGCTAGATGGCATAATCTTTCACCTTTAACTAAAGTCATATTAAGTTTAACCAGGCAAAAATATTACTTTTGAACCACTCGCGCCGTTCCCATAGTAGCGTCCGGCGGTTCTTTTTTCTATGAATCAAACAGAATTGAACAAGCAGTATTTTATTGCTTCTCTTTATTCACGGAAGGTTCTTTATTTAGTGCAGCTAGTTCGATTACTCGTGACTGATTTCAGGCTGTAACTCTGACGCCATCGATATCATTTTGCAAATGTCCTACGGCGGCGCATGTGTTTTCGTACATTTACCTTAATTTCTCATTAAGTAGGGCTCTGTTCCTAATAATATTGTCGTTTCAACGTTGTCATAGATTGAGCTTTCACTCTCACGTAAATTTTTATTAGAATTTAGTGTCATTTAAAGCAAGCGGGGCACTTCGTCGAGAGCTTTCAAAAGTTTACAACCCACACTCCGAGGATCACCTGCTTATGGTACCTTCAGTGAGTACATTCAGCATGTGACTGTGTCATTCCTGTCGAGAAAGTTGGAGGACAAATCACAACATAATCAAACATTATCTTAGAGTTGAGATTCATTATAAATACTAACACAGCTGCGCAAACCACGTGTTTTGTTCAGTCATGGCACGTGAGGCAGAAAAAAAAGACGTCGTTAAAAACTGGCTGGAAGCCTAAAATAGGATAAATAGACGACATGGCATGCAGAATGGCGTCTTTTAAAGCTTGCACAAACTTCTGCGCAAAATCTCACCGAGCAACAATGAAGGAGGAGGATTGAAAGAGGAAGGACAGGGAGGTTAACCGAGCAACAATATTGTGCCACTAACCTAGCATTCTTGTCCTTAATCTTCTGCAACTCTTCCAAACAGTCGAAGGTCATCAATGTGACGCCTGAGCTTTCAGCGAAGTCTAAATGAGACGACTGCTTTGCAGGGTTTGCGTAGATGATCCGACTAGAATCGACTCCAGCACTCAGGACTGCTTGAATTTCTCTCTTTCCGAAAAAAAAAGAAACACAATGAATGCTGGTTTATTAAGTTGTGGAATATATATATATATATATATATATATATATATATATATATATATATATATAATATATATATATATATATAATATATATATATATATATATATATATATATATATAGTCTGAACATTGGTGACCAGGCATCCAAACGTTATTATTGCTATAGTTGGAAGATAAATTGACTAACATCTATTCCTTCTTTTCTTACTCTTATTCCTATTTAGAAAATGAAAGAAGTCAGAACGAAGATACAGCGCTTCCTTCGCGTATTCTCATTAGCTTCCATCAGTGCAAACGAACGCAGTATTGCGCTAAGTTGCTAGTTCTGATGCCTTTCTAATGATATGAATGAGTGAAAAAACATGTCTTTAAAATTTGTATACAAGCGTTGAGATCTGTCATATAGTGGGTATAGTTTAATAATGCCAGCATGAATGTTTTTAAAATGTTTGCTTATTATCGCTTATTTACTCGTGCTGTAACTGTATGTAATCAGAAGGAATCATCAATGTGAAGAGTGACATGCGACGAAAGTGGTGTATGGCATGACTGACTTGATATCATAAAATAACGTGCTCTTTTGCTTGTCGTCGTGCAAGCGATAAAATTGCGTTGTAGCACTGGTGATAAACATTATTCGCTGCTTCGCACAATAATGTATATTATCCCTGCTACAAGGCAACCTGAACTACTCACTAGACCAACCAAAAAAATGTGTGTTAGGTGACAAAACTATTCGAAAAAAAAAACATCTTCTCTGTTACGTACTTCATGAGTACATAAGCCAAAACAAGCATAAGTTGTAACTAAATTAGCGTTGTTATCATAGACCTATACCAGCTGGCCCGGATCTCAATGCTTGTAGATATTTTAAAGACGTTCTTTCTTTTTGTGATGCTGCCAACGGTACATCTTATTTGTCAACCATGCAAACTTTTTGGCGGTACGCGAAGGCCTGATTCCCAGCCAAGAAAGGGAACTATTTACTCAGTCACTGTGACAACTCTACTATCTAGTTCCCTATTGAGCATTATATATATTACCTTTTTATTTGTAAACATGCACGACATATCTACATTTCTCGATCTCTCTTAGCAGGAGTTTGTCTCCTTTGTAGATGAATGTTTCATTTCTATTTTGTTGACGCGATTTCAATAGTCAATACATGTTTTGCAGCTCCACTCTTTCAAGATTGATAGCTTTTTGTTTCGTTCGTGATATTTTTCTTACCTTGTTAGAACAGTCAAAGTTGACTCCTTCCATCGCCAAAGTTCGAATGACGATGCGATCGCTGCACGACTTTATTGCTGAGAAAAACAATAAAATAATCTTTGCATCGAATCTAATGAATTACATTCATTGTGATCTAATCGGCTTTAACTGGGCAACTGGGGCAAGATGCAGTACGCAGTATGCGAAAAGTGATTAAATGGTATCAAACCACGGTAACTATACTCATCGCGGGAATACATAACTCTGCGTGGTTCGACTCAGGTCTATATGTGACTGCGTAAGTCGTCCCATATTTCTTTTATTTCTTAGCATTTTCTAAACTTTCGACTTTCTGAAATGCCGGTGTGTCTGCGGGGATAAGCTGCACATCATTGACGCATGGAGACGGCTGCTTTCTTATAGAACTGTTGATGCTGTGATCTACCGAGGAAGCCCAAAGCGCAAAATATATTTCATTAGCAGTGAGTCTGAGTATCTTCACAGTTTTCGCTGACCTGTGATCGGGAGCGTTGTGTGAATACCGATGTACGCCCAGCCGTGGTAGTCTAGTGGCTAAGGTACTCGGCTGCTGACCCGCAGTTCGCGGGATCGAATCCCGGCTGTGGCGGCTGCATTTCCGATGGAGGCGGAAATGTTGTAGGCCCGTGTGCGCAGATCTGGGTGCACATTAAAAGAACCCCAGGATGGTCGAAATTTCCGGAGCCCTTCACTACGGCGTCTCTCATAATCATATGGTGGTTCTGGGACGTTAAATCTCGCATAATAATCAGTAACAATGTACGTTGCTTGCGAATACGCTGATGGCGCTCGTCAGGAACAGTGGCAGTGACCGGTTGTCGATGCAACGGGAGTATTTGACATTTTAGTAAAGATAAAAATACATATAACGCGACCGTCGAGTGCGCACATCGCAGCGTTTGCGCTGTGTGGCGAACAAAAATATGCGTGATCTCCGGGCTGAAAGGGACGAACGACCATAGCAATTGCCCCATTGTGTTGTCTCGGCAGGGCCGTAACGATGGTTGTGGCTTTACGATATGCACGTTTTGCTATCGACCACAAAAACGATAACCGCTGTGACAGCTTATCGCTGTCATGAATTGGGAAGCGTGTCGTTCGTACGCGGAACGTTAGGGAGCACTAGAATCATCGTGCGCACTGACGCGAGAGCGGGTTTGTCACGTGTTTTTTTTTTTTTTTGTATTTCACGGGCATTTGTAACTGGCAAAAAAAACACTAATACCTAATAGATATAAAGTTCAAAACTATCTATTCGGACGTTTTGTAAACCGATCTACAACTTTCTAATTGAAATTTTTATCCATCTTTGTTCCTTTAAAAGATAGGTAATTAAACATATCTAAATAAACAATATTTGAGAACACAAAAAACAGTTTGACTAACTCCAGGCAACGATGAGCAACGTGCATTCGGTGGCGTCGTAATTGTGTGTGCCAGCATATTTTTAAACTCTGGCTAAAGTTACCTGGGACACCCTGTAGAAGGAATAGATACACGCGCAGCACCGCTGGCAGACCTTTTTTTTTTCTGCCAACCAGCGTCCGCGTCGAAAACGGGACTTGTGGGCTGTGTACTCGCAATGACGTCACACTGCTTTCAAATAAGAAGAGGTCTATAGTCATGTGTGGGAACACTCATAGTGCGAATACATGATCGTGGATATCAGCCCTTCTTCGTCTTCGTTCATCTATACTCGTTATATTGAGCAAACAATTAGAGCAGCGCTCGAAATTGAACAGCCCAGTGAACTGAGATTCAAATGGAGGAGAACAACTCTCATCATGCGCATTATCGACGCTGAAACAGGGGAGATAAATGCTTGCCGTGTTTCTTACCGAAATAGGGAGTCACCTTCGGAAGCTTCTGATGCCATAGTTCCACCATATTTTTCAGTTCAAACAGATCGCATATGAAGAACGAATTGTCTTCCTCCTTGAGAGAAGAAAAACAAATGTGAAAAATGCACATGGTGCAGAAAAAAAGTAATCACGTGAAAAAGTAAACCATACGCAATACAACGTGGGAGCAACAAGGCTTGGAATGGTGCCTAGGTGGGGATCATATATGAACGCGTTAGGTACTTCCTACTTTTTTTCTGGTAATCACCTTTTATGTACGTTTGATTCATCATATGGAGAGCCGACACCTGCACGATGCGAAACAGATACACCCTGAGAACTTACATAGGATTTCGTCTTTCAAGTATTTTATACAACTGCACTGAAGTAAAAAAACCACCTACAGAGACGCCTCTGCATTCTGATCGTTGCACACTGTCACTTCGAGATTACCGTAACCGGCATGAGTTTCAGAGAGAGAGAGAGAGAGAGAGAGATTTGCTTGAAAATGACTTGGCCCGCAGCACATTACCAGCGCTTAAAAAAGAGAGAGCAGGAGTATAAAAAGGTAGGGGAGGTTACTTAGAATATGTCTAGTTTGCTACCTTATAGTAGGGGAGAGGGGAATGAAATAGTAAATGCGAGATGGAGAATAGGTGAAAATGCAATTAGCCCTATTTGGTCAATATGCTTCACTTTTTCATTACAAATTACCTAAAAGGTACCGGCTATGTATCGAGTAGAAGTGGAGCGTTGGCGTATGTATTTAATTTGCATAGTAATTCAAGTACGTACAACAAAACAGAAGCGTTCGACATAAGGGAAACACCTGATATAATAAAATACTTGTCAAAGTACCCGAATAGAAAACAATGACAACTCTTACAAAGCGATGTGTCTAGCGTCGCAGGTTCACTTTCGAAACGTTAGGTACTCATGTGTCCATCGCTACCTAATTGTTTGTACACAATTTTGAATTTAGAGTATGCCAAGAATCACAGAAAGGGTCAGGATATGTAATCAGGCTAGTATATACGACACTATATGATCTTAACTATATCGTATGGACTACCACATCAGGAATGGTTAGGATCATAACATACAGAAAGGTATACCGAAACCTCAAGCTGAAACAAAAGAAGTAGCTTTCCTTAATCGTTAACTGACGAAGACTTTTTTTAGTATCTTAATAATCGCAACAATAGAAGTAAATTTATATTATAGTTTAGTGGACTAACAGAAACACCTAGCATGAACTGTCGTTCGGTGTACTTACCTGTTCTTCCACGACTTTCAGCTGCAACGTCACGGACACTGCACTCTCGTGAACGAAGAAGCTTGCCTGGTTCGGCTCGGCCATCGTGTCCTGTGCCACCCAAACGTGTCAATCAATTTCATCGCTCATGGGCCACTGAAACATCATCTGATGTTTCACAAAATAAAGGTCACAAAATAAAGGCATGTGCAAACAATGTTTTGATGAACATTCATTATAAGAATAAAATGCAAAGATTTATGAAAGTTGCAGTAATTCCAGCTTCAGAATTCTTTACCTCTACGCAAAGACGGTTAAAATTATCGACACAGTTCTGGAACAACATTTCCCTCGGCTCGTCTAAGTCAAGCAAGAATTTGGAGAGTACTAATTGTGTTTTGCACAACACGCACACCTCTCAACCAAATGTTTCTCGTCCTCCTTACATTGACTAGAAGAGGCTATAACAATAAATAGAAGACGTTATAATATAAAGACATATTCTGTATGCGAAAGACATTCGCAGCAGAGACATACCTGCCACATACTGAGACACCATTGAAAGCAGTCCAAAAATGAAGTCCATTCAATACGGAACAATCCGAAATATACATAACACACATATACAGCGCTGTGCACGTGTGTTTTTTTTTTAATAAATGTATATAAGGAGAGGTTGGTGCCAATGTGTGGCGCCGACTACTCCCATTCTCTTGCTTAAAAGTCGACAGCGCAGACTTTGTAGCAAACACAGGGCTATACATACTTACATAGCACAACGCTTACTCAATAAGTCCACGTCTTTCAACACGGAGTGATATGTAACTTACTCTTAGTCCCCTCTTGGACGAAGTTTGCACCAACAAGCCTGTTTGGCAGCCTTTCGATAGGCCAAAAAATAGTTTTCTTGAAACAACTTAGGGTTATCACTCCCGCTTTATGACTGACAGCAGTCAGCGTAGGTAAAATTCTCATCGATCATTCTTTGTGGCGAGAAGTGAATGGCCTAACGCCTGAGTATTACAGTATACATAGCCGAGGAGTCCCTCAGGGAGGAGTGCTAAGGCCTACGCTTTTCAATCTAATTCTCATTGGACTAGTCGAACACCTACCAAGAACTGTAGAACTTTCTATCTACGCTGATGATTGATTGATTGATATGTGGGGTTTATCATCCCAAAACCACCATATGATTATGAGAGACGCCGTAGTAAAGGGCTCCGGAAATTTCGACCACCTGGGGTTCTTTAACGTGCACACAAATCTGAGCACACGGGCCTACAACATTTCCGCCTCCATCGTCTATCTACACTGACGACATCTGCATTTGGACATCAGGTGTGACAAGGCTTCAGCTTCGCGCCCTCCTTCAGAAGGCTGCCACAACGACGTCATGCTACCTTCGTAAACAAGGTCTCGAGGTGTCCTGCGAAAAATGTGCAGAGGTAGCATTCAAGCGGAAACCAATGTCTGCTTACAGCATGTCGATTAATGGAGATCACATATCGTTCAGCAGAAACCACGGGCTCTTAGGAGTCATAGTAGACAGAAATCTATCGTGGACTCCACACGTGAACTATGTGAAGAAAGCGGATGATCGCAACATGTCACATGTTCAAATTCCTTGCTGGAAAAAAATGGGGAGTACCTGTACTATTCATGCTACGAACTGTAAAAAGTGCTATTTATCGGATTCTTGCGGTACAGCCAACCTGCAATATCTAACACCGGAAATACCAACCTGCGCACAATTCAGAGCATTCAAGCTCAAGCACTTAAGATATGCCTTGGATTACCCCGCAATGCTTCAATGGCTGAAACCATTGTCATCGCTCAAGATCACTCAATCAGGACGCATATTATTACCGAGACAATGCACGTGCACCTCAGGCGTTATGCCAGGACCCCTCCCCACCACCAGGCGAGCTTCGCTGGTGAAAGGCCCCGCACGACATACAGTGCCACTGTCTGCAAGCCACGAGTTTACTTAATGATCCCAGGAATGCGGAGAAAATCAGGCTTACCGACACATGCCCTAAAACAACTGTGTCTAGTCCTGCTGGACGAGAACTACAGTAACCACGTGCCTACATCCACGTGCCTGGAGTAACCAGCAACCTACATCAACGCAAAGCTTCGCTTCTATATCGCCTTTGGCTGGGAGTTGTTTTCACGAAAGCTTATACCACGTTAATCAGGATGACTGACAGTGTGGCATGCAATGTTTGCGGCACCGATGAAAATATCGAACACCTGCTGTGCCACTGTCCTCGATTTGCCCCAGAGAGGCAAGTACTTACCAACGCGTTGCGGCGACTGGATGATAGGCCTCCCTCTGTGCAGGTGCTATAACAGCACCGTCTATGTTCCTCGACAGCCCGCAAGGCAGTGAAAGCCCTTATGTGTTTCTTGAGGACAATGGGTTTGTGTGAACGCTTGTGACTTGCACTGGAGTTCTACATGAATGAACTGTCGGTCTCTCCCTCTTTCTTTTTCTTCTCTTCCCTCTTTCTCACCCATTCTTATCCCCTTCCCTAACCACCAAGTGTAGGGTAGCCAACCGGATGTCTGTGGGGTTAACCTTCCTCCTTTCCCCCTTTTGTTGCTTCCTTCCTGCCACAGCAGAGCCATGAGAAGAGTTGCTGGCCAACGAGAACCTGGAAAATCAGCTTAGCCTAATTGACCATTTGCGGGAAAACTACTGCGCATGAGCAGTAACGGCACAGGCAGCGCCCTCTACAGGCATTTTGGTTTTGGTTGGAAAACATCAGCCTGGCCAGCCGCCAGTCATACATTCGTTAGCCGTGGTTGAGCGGCCTTGCTTTCGTAGTTAGGTCAAATATGCCAACACACTGCGTAAACTATTTTACCGAGATAGAAGCGTGAAGAGCTGGGCTTGTTAGTTCATGTTAAAGTGCGAAAAAAAAACATACGAAAACTACAGGTGACTGTGTATTCGGTTGTGCCTTGATCGTCCTCCTTTTGAGTTTTCGCTGGTTTTTGTCGCAGCAAAACCGAGAAATTAGCGCTAACTTTGACAGGTTCTCTTCCGTGAGGCTACGTGCTGAAATGAGATGCTTGGATAATGGTATGTGAAATGTTGTCGGAGGAGGAGCATTTATTGAAAGAGAGGAGTGTGGCGCACGCGACTCGCCGTGGGCCGTGCCAGCGCTCGCCGAACCAGCGCCTCCTCTGGCCGAAATAACACTTTTTGATCTGTTTAGTGTACCAGGACAGCACACGAGTCGCGCTTATGTCCGCGTTAGCGCTCAATACTCCTCTTAATACGCGAAGATGCGCTCTCACGTATCTGCGCGAACCATTTTTCATAGAAGCACGAGTAATTTAATAATCGCAATAGTGGCAGCTGCATCTGTAGCCCTTATATGCACAGTAGAATAAATTCATGTTACGTTATGAAATCAAATGCAGCGTATTAGTAAAGTTCATATTCATTATTACATCATCATTTCACACTTCGGCGATTTTAACTAGAGACACTTGTATTAATGTGTACTAGAAACGCCTATGGTATGCTCTACTTGTATATATATAAAAAAAATCTCTCCCAGTAACACAATCAAAGTGCGTTCCAACGATGTGATCCGTAGTAACGGCAAACACTGCAGTTTTTACGCAAACACCACACCTCACAGACGGTGCACAAGCCGTCCTTATTGAACCTATAGTTAATCGACAGACATTTCAAGGTTCAACTTCAATCCCGGCTGCGGCGGCTGCATTTCCAATGGAGGTGGAAATGTTGTTGGCCCGTGTGCTCAGATTTGGGTGCACGTTAAAGAACCCCAGGTGGTCGAAATTTCCGGAGCCCTCCACTACGGCGTCTCTCATAATCATATTGCCACAGGCATGGAACGAGGTTTAGCCATGCCAACGCGAGTATGTGCCATGGTGTGAAAGAAGAAGAGGACGGTTGGTGTGCTCGTGCTCTAACGTTCGGTTCGGGGCTCGACGTCCAGTGCTGCTCCTGTGAACAGACGTTGTGGTCGTTCTCTGATCACGTGACAATATGGTGGTTTTGGGATGTTAAACCCCACATATCAATAATGAATCAAAGTTGAACTTCAAGTGTATAATGTTCTTCTTGAAGGAGCCTTCTTGATGAGCCTGGCAAACCGTCGAGGTAGCGGAGTGCAGATTTCACTTCACTTGGTTATTGCTCAGGCTGAAACGCGAGAAATTCTTGTTTTACACCGTGCGTACAAACGTCAACAGAATGTTTTTTCTCCTTTACCATGTTGTTTCAATAATGGGCCTGCGTTTTTGGTCCTAAAGCAGCAAAACAAGCACATTTAAACCGCTAAACACTGCATTGAGCATGTCAGTTGACTAAGATGTTTTCCAACCAAAAGCACGAGTAAAGCTTTCCTGTATGCACGACAGGGGGCGCTCACTTTTCCCCAAATGGTCCCCAAAGGGGTGGATGACATGCGCACCGTGTCCCCCCAGGTGCAAATTGTAGTATGCACAGTACCGGAAGTACCAGTACGCAACGTCAACCTGCAAAGAGCGGTTGTCGACGCAAACAAAGAGATATGGCGAATTAGTCGAGAGAAGGGTTTCGAGGTAGTGGATTTAAACAGGGAAGTGCACAGGTGGGGTGGATTCCAAAGAGACAAGATTCATTTCGATAAGAGGCTTGGACACGAGGTGGGCTGGCGACTGGCAGGACGCGCAGTAGCTTTTTGGGGGGCTCACGGGCCCTTCGGAGTCCGGGGTAGCTCGTAACAGGGAAAACAAACAGGAGGACGCTTTGACAGGTAGAATTGCGAAAAACCAGAAAAAGGTAAAAGAAAAAGGAAAAAGGCGCGTGTTGCAATTAGTTACATAAACATGCAGGGTGGCAGAAAGAAGGCAAAATGGTTAGAGATTGAGGAGCAGTTAAACAAAGAACAGATAGGCGTGTATGCGGTTACAGAAACACACCTTAGAGACTTGGAAGAGCCACCACATATTAAAAATTATGTTTGGGAAGGGTGTAACAGGACCATATCGGAAAGGAAAGGTGGGGGTGTAGGAATGCTAATTCACCGCGGAGCCAAATGGGTTAGAGTGAAACAGACGTGTTCAGAGCACCTCTGGGTT